GCACGCTTAGCTGAAATGGGCCGAATAACCAACGAGTACATGCGAGTCGTCGAGTGTACAACACGAATCGAGTTCCAGAATTGCTTGAACATCGACTGCTGGCGGACATAGGTACGACCTTGGATCTGAATTGTCTGGTCTGCCTCGAAAACAACCGGGTTCTGCAAGCGACTGGACACAAGATCCCAACGGACGGTCACTTGAACCCGGTACTTCTCTGCCGTAACTCGGTCAAGCAACAAAGATCCATGTAAACTTGAATCCCACTGTCCCACAATTGTGACATGAGAGGTTCCGTCGGCGTTCTCCCTGACCGTGGGTTCTTGAACAAACTTCAAGGGGACGTCCGGAGTCTGAAAGTCCTGATCTGGGATCTTGCCCCAAGGATCAAGGAGGCGGACAGAACCAACGCGGATGTTGTTAATATCATCCCACGGAAGCGTTTCCGTCGAGCTGTACGTGATGTTGACTGAGATGCGGCGCTGCAATCCTTGATGAAGCTGGGATGTCCCGGCATCGAGGCTGCTGCTCTGGACAACCTCCACGGGGAGGTATTCACCAGATTCTGCCATTTCGAGTATTTGAATTCTCGCAAAGACATCATGACGTTCTTCTGAGTAATATTCCGATTCCGCGATTCGAGCAGCAGTTCGCTTCTGCGGTGAAGGCTCCGCTGAGTCACGCATATCATCCCAACTAAGAAGCTTGTCGAGATGAACCGATGTCACACCAGCATAAACACAGACCTTCAATGCGGCTGTCCGTGGACTTGACAGCGGCAAGCTCATGCTGTGCACACTTTCAAAGCGAACCGGACCGTCCTCAAATCCTTTGATCATTTGAGTTGTAGTTGCGCCTCCTTCCTCTGAGATACCTGGAACAAATAACTGCGCATGTACATCAGACCCTTCCCACTCCGCGAACCCGATCATGTCCCGCATGACAACGTTAAATTTCAGAGTTGAAGAGGGTGCCTGCGCAGAGGATGGTTCGAGCGAGAGACGAACGATTCCGATGACACTCTGAGTATATGGCGAGGTTATCTCAATGGAAAAGTCCTGCACACGGGTTTCAAAAACAGCCGTTAACGGGATGTCGGCATCACCAATAAGAGAATACTGGGGTGAGCAAGGTTCAGAGAATGGATTGTCGAGCTTGAAGTGTTGGATGTAGTCGGGACGGTCAATGTATTGGTGCAATTGCCGCATGGCTTGGACGCGACGCTGGAGCTTTTCAATCGACCACAAGTGAATCACACACTGCTTGAAGTCAATGACACGGACACCCACACAAGGCTTCTTGGCCTCATCAAGCAGCATGTCTTCATCGCCGGAAATTCCGTTCAACACGAGATCATAAGACGATTCCATGTTATGACCATGGTCGACAATGGCAAACTGGAAGACCACATGCTTGTCCATGATATGGCTCATGATCTGTGCCTCTTTCAGAAGGGAGGCATGTTGCAAAATCTTCTCGGCCATTCGGACGTAATTTCGCTGAGACCAGTGCTTGTACACTGAGCGTGCGATCTCGAGTTCACGTTCGTCCAACTTGGCGAAGCCATTTTCAAAAATTTGAGGAACTGGCTTACCCATATCTCGGATGTGGGTTTCAAAAGTCTCCTTTTGTTTGCGCAGCTGCTCTTCGAATTCCTCCTTGGCTGTGCGCAGGGCGTACTCCATACGCTCCTTCTCCGTTCGTAGCTCTGGCGAGTCTGGATCGGAGGAAGCCCCCACAGACTTAAGTTTTTCTTGGAACTCTTCCTTGCGGCGATCCAGCTGGCGCTGCATATCTTGACGGGCCTGGTTGAGTGATGCAACGCCATTGACTTCATCGTCGTCATTTTGTCGGGGCGTGCTAGGCATGGTTATAGCGGTGTCTAAGGAAAAGTTGTCGAGGGTGCCGTTGGACATGTACTTGTCCCTAATCGGGAAGGAGCTGATGGAGTCGGAATCTTCCTCTTCTGGAAGTCCACGCCGTCCAGCTCGAACCTTCTGCACATCCTCCAACAGTGTATCCAGTTCATCATCAGGCAAATTAGAGATCTGGTCAGGTCCAACCATAGCATTGACAGCTTCTCTACGAGCTAAGAACCAGTCTGACTCACGGCTACGTTGTGAAGGCATGGGTGAATCCGCCCTGGATGAATCGCCGTCCATGTCAGATCCTGCCTTGCTCAGACTTCGATCATGGGTTTTGTTTGGCGCCGGCGACCCAAGCTGGCTTGTAGTGATTGAATGGCGGAGTAAGCTCTGCTCGACCCGTTCGGCTCTAGCCTCCTGAGGATGGTTGAAACGGAAAATATGAAAATCGCCGAGGATGATTCGGAAACCACTCTTCAGTCGTGTCGGCTTGTCAACCCGCATGCCGTTCACCATGATTGCAGCACCTTCGGCGGGTACAATGGTCACAATGTTATCCGCATTCTCAAACGTGCAGTGCTTCTCGAGAATTTTGGATCCATTCAACCGGATCTCCACGGTTTGGCCTTGATCCATATGACCAACCGTGGTGGTGCCAGGTTTGATATTGTAGACCAAACATTCCGCAAGAAGGGGATCGTCGCTTAGGTTGACCAAATGGGGCATTTTCTTTGGTGTGCTCATTCCAATGAAGCCCTTTTCGATATTGATTCCCAATTCCTCCAAAGCTGCTTCACGCTCCTTGTGGATAAGTTCTGTATTCTGCAGCTTCTCTTCCCAAGTCTGGTTAAGATCTTTGTAGAGCTTCTCACTCTGATTGAGTTGTTCTACAATCTCTGCCTTGCTGACCTGAGTGACACTTCCGTCCGGCTGTTGGATGGAGACCATCTGTTTCTCCAAGGGTGTATCTGGGGGATAGTACTCCTGAGGAGCACCTCCTATAGCACCAGGTGCTCCTCCTGGTGCTACTCCACCTCCAAGTTTTGATCGGAGCTGTGCTAATTCCTCCTTGAGTTCGCGAATCATGCGTGCATTCGGGTCTTCGTTCACAACAGCATGATTCTTGATTCGTTTCGCCGAGTCGGCGTATCGCAGAGTACCAAGAGTCTCGTCAAAGTTAATATCTGCAGGAGAAATTGCTGCAATCATAGAGGTCATGGAATTTCCACCCAGAGAATCCTTGAGCAACCATGTTAGGATTGAATCACGATATGGTACCATGGATGCATTCTTTTTCTTGCCCGCAGCAGTCTTGCCAGCAGACACATCAGCGAGTGCAGCAATGACACGACCAAGTGTTGACAATGAGCGATTGATCTCCGCACCCTCCTTCAATCGCGCGCCGGTGGCTCCAGTCGAGTTGGCTCTTTCTGAACCAGCCAAATCAACTAAACTGATTTTTGACACCTTCTCAGTATCCATCGAAGTCTCTTTGTCGTGTCTCTTTTGTGTCAGAGTCAAGGTGAAAACGGCATGTGATCGACTTGAGGTTTCGTTCATGTTGGTCGCGGCAACCGTTCGGGCTTTGTTACCCTCGTCCATCAAATTCTCGATTTCTTCGAAAGAGCTGACGACAAGTTTGGCCAGATCTTCAACATAAGGACCCGTTGACGGATGCTCACGGACTTTCAGGTTGCCTTTGTTTGACGGGTTGAGCAAATCGCGTACCCGCTCGTTGTAGATTTCGAGGTATGACACCTCAACGGTGCAATTTAATGACTTGTCCGCCTGGATTGCGGTTATGCGCTCGAACATCGATTGGCAAATCCGTGGAATCACACCGTATTCTTTGCCATAACCCATCATGGAGTATGATTTTCCCGAACCGGTCTGGCCATAAGCGAAGATACAATTGTTGTAGCCCCCAAAAGCATTATCCAGAAGCGGAGAACCCAGATCGTCGAACAAGTCATTTTGATCGGCGAAGTTTGATGATTTCTTATCGAAGGACCAATATGATCGGTCAAAGGCGAAGACCTTGTTCCCTTCAACAGCGCCCTTCCCACCCTTCCGCGATTTGTCCTCTGCGCCGGGTGGAGTAGTGAGTACGGTTTGCGACCCTTTCATCGACACAATACATTTTGCGCCTCGCTCGATCTCTGTTTAAAGGCAGACTGGTTAGCTTAAGTTCCAAGGGAGACCCCCTCCCTCAACATCTACTCACCTCGACTATTGAAAGGGCGCACTCGCACCACCACCTTAATATTTCCACCGCCGCCTGGAGCCATCTTTGCTCTCTAACCCATGCACGGGAGATGTTTGTTAACAATAAAGGTATATGGAAGCTGGAGTCCGGAGGTGGGATGCAAGTGGTGACAGGGGTACACCGATGCGCGAACTCCGCGAGGAGCGCCGCCTGAAGATATGTCGCAGGGGAATGAGCGCGGAGTCAATTGTAGTTGAATCGCTCGTGATCGTTTGGGAGTGGTTCGTAGTGAGATTCGAAACCGTAGATGTCAACAAAGACGTCATGTATCGGCCGATGTTGATGTTGCGCGTCTGTGATGTTTTTTTTTTGTGGGGGAGATTGGCTGATGTGCGGGGAGCCTGGATCTTGCAACGTTAAGGATTAGCCACCGAGGGAAACCAGCCACAGTGTCTGTTTTCTCGAGGCACCAAGCAAAACAAAATGCGATTGTGGTCTCGAGTCAACAACGATGCGGAAAAGCCACTTTGGTCCGGGGGGTCATGCTGAGTAAGCGCTCCACCGCCACCCGTGGACTGCAAGGGGCCTCTGTCCTTGATGATATGGGACTTTATTGATCTGATTGCTTTACCCCAAGATGAAATTAGGGACGTTATATGTAAGACGCCGACGTGTTTCTAGGTGTTCTTTTTAAACGTCTTTTCAATGTATAAGAAGCATTTGAAAGCATAAAGCGTGCAGAGAACTTTTCTATGCATAACTAGAGCAATGTCCTTGAATGTGCTTGTAGATATACTTCTTAGGTGTTGTGGCTATGTGCCGCATATATACTACCTCATGTTTCTTTAGCTCATGTATACATCGACGTGGGGCAGAATAGAGTTATGAAGAGGTCCGGAGCATATTTGGATACGTCTAAGTTTTCATCTATGACATCCATACATGTAAGCATGGATGGTTTCACTGCTCTACCCTTCCATACATCTTGTCAACATAATTTTGCACCAACAGCTTAAGTCCCACATCGTTCATTCACTACAAGGTGGGTGGCTTTTTCTCCAAATATGACGTTGACGCGTCCTTGGATAACCAAGCTAGGGCACTTCACAATCTGTGGTCATGGTGCGATAGATTGGACAATGAAATCAAAGCTATCAATACGAGGAAAAGCCAAGGCAATAATGCACCAAACGAAGGATCCAACGCAGATGCCCAATCTCTTTCAAAAAATCTTAATGATGTTGCTGCAGAGAACGGTCACCTGCGCGAAAATATAGCTGCTCTTTCTACGAAGATAGATCAGAATATTGCAGAGATCAGTCACTGGAAAGCAGAAGTTGAAGTTCTACCCACCAAGTTTCAGGATTTCCTCGGTCTAGAGGTCAATACTATGAACGCAAAGTACCAGGCCCTTTCTACAAAGATTGGCAATGGTCTCAATGACAGTCCACCAGCTGTCAACCGGGGTCTTGCTATGGGGCTATCTCTTGGTCTCGGCATCCCCCTAACCATAGCTATTGTTTTCCTGTGTACCATTTGGATTCATCGCAGGTATAATTTCCACGGGGTTTCACCTAAGAAAGACGACTAACGCGCTACATTCTATTAGATATCCATATATACCACAACACATGAATAACGAGGAAGCTGAGAACTATATCAAAATACACAAGGCAACACGGCAGAGTAAGTTCTCCGCGAATTCAAGTTACCTATGGTTATATTCTGACTAACGAACTTTTGATCAGAAACCTTGACTGAGAAGCTCTGCGATCTTTTTGAAGCCAAGGGTGTCAAAAAGAAACCCGTTGTCCCGGAAGTCTATGTCATGAGCAACGCTCCCACACAATGATACTATCACCGCACATGATGGATATTTGGCTCAGGGTGTAAGATATCGGTAAGTGCAAGGACATGAGGATACATGATAAAGCTTGGAGTGAATGAGATTTTGTTTCGTTACTTAGGTATCTAGATCTATTAGATCCAGTGAGTTAATAATCGATTGCTTCTTGGCTAAACGTACTCTGCTCCCAACTTCAATATATCCTATCTTTTACCTTTGCGCCTTTTAACTTTCTATGGAAATAATTGCACGATCTGTGTACTAGGTACATAACCTTGGATCCTTGGATTGTTTATGCCCTAATCGTTCTAACTGGGTTTAGAGACAACCCCTTCTAAGGTTGTATCCCTTTTCGGACGCAGCCTTGTCTCTTTATAAAAAATTTTAAATGTGATATCACGATTTTTTTTTTCTACTATTCTTTTCCTCTCCGTCGTTATATAACTACTCACAGTTATCGCTCTAAACCGAGTGAAAATCAAAGTATCTGAAGTACTACTTCCATCCCAAATTTATCAAAAGTTTTCACAAATCCCAAAAAATGGCAGTCAACGAGGGCCTAGCTACTGGCCTTTCCATCGGCTAGGAATCCCTCTTATCATCGCGTTGATAACATTGGTTGTGACCTATGGCCGTCGCAGGCAAGTATCTAAACTGCTCTTTTTTATGGAGCTTACTAACAATATGTCTTGGAGTCCTTGAGGCTGCTCAGGAAGCCCGTGGTTCAGGAAGTATATATGATGGCTAAGGTCCCGAAGTGATACTATGGACATGGGAGTTGAATGCTTTGCTGGATAAAAATACAAACAGGTATGGACCTTTGGCGTTTTGATAACATTTGGGGCGGACGAGTTTTGCTTTTTGATATCGTAAGCGCATTAGTATACTGTACAAAATAATCTAACCACTTAAGATGAGGTCAAAGTCTCACAATACTGAGTGTACTCTCTCTAAAAAAGGGATTTTCTAAGATTTCCTATTGCTAGCCTTCTATTTAATGGAGATAGCTGACATCTTACTGTATGAATTTTGTTAAGTTAGAAGGTAATTATGTCTTCCAAAAGTTGTTATTGGAGGCGACTACTATATATATTTTCGAGGAATGCGGGTTGCTATGACACCAACGCCACGGATATCTGTCGAAATCAGATAAAAAATAAAAAATAAAGAGACCAAACGGGAATTCATCAATAATACATGAACTTATTTTACCCATGTAGAACCAAGGTCTGTACAAATAAAAACTTGAAGTTGGGGGTCCGAAGTCAAGCGGTCAAGCTTCTCACACGTGGGATGTTTCATGGTCCGGAGATCGGACCCATCCATCTCTGCGAATCGGGATTATCGCCTGCGCTGAATGGCCCATGGGAAGCTACTAAAGTTGACTAGAATGCACGTGGGGATTCACCTGGGACTATAGAAAATATATACGTATCACACTATAACATTCTATCGTTTGAATTGTTTGGTAATTGAACTCGTCTATGGGAAAACATATTCGACACAGCAACACGAGGTGGGGATGTTTGAGTCGGAGATCAATCTACGGTGAGCAGAATTGTTTCGACCGCCAGTTCGGATGTTCAATAATAGTAACAGCCCACTATAATAATAACAGTCTCCGTAGATTGCACAACAGTACCTATCTTGCCGATACGAACTCGGGTTAATTAGGTTGTGTCATGACCTTGGCTGGAACAAACACTTGAATGCGCCAAGCGAGTACTTAGAGGGAGACCTCGTGTGTTTTGCAGTGAATACCTACATAATAAATACTCAGACCTCTTACCTCGCGCCAGATGGACGGGCTTGTGTACCATATAACGTCGTCACTCCCGCCTGAATTACAATGTTGCTGCCCGGGGAGATGATTCCATTGCCGCCACCTAAGAGATCTCACCACACTCCTGTGAGGACCGTAAGTTCCGAGAATGACAGGCCGTACTAGAATAAACCCTGCCTTCTACGAAGCTCATTTTTCCTGGTGTACATCGTGCACGAGCTTTGAAGCAAGGGCCATGGATGGAATGGGGCATCAGGTGGAGGAGACTTCCCCAAATAGGGCACACGGCCGAGCTACGCAGTGTCCACCGAGAGTAGGAAAAAGCAAAGTGAAATGGCGACACATTCTTTTTGGGTATTAGAAGTGATAATCGATAATCATGAGCGGAAAGCAAGCTGACCAAAAAAAAAGGGCCAAAAAAGAAAGGAGGCGATTATTAAAATGAGGCGAGTGATAGCGTGGGCAGACATGCAGATGCAGCTGAAAGTGTATATATGATTCAATGATGGAGTTTGGGGTTTAAGGGTAGTATAGTAGGAATTAAAGGGAATATTGTGAGTAAATTGTTCTCCATAGATATAGTAGATGGTTATATTAACTGAATCAAGTCAATTAAGAAAAAATCGAAAGAAGAAAGCACATACAACATAGGAAGGTCAGGAAGGTATACTCCGCCTAGGCTATGCGTCATCATCTCGGGTCGCACATGACGAGAGCTCGGGAGTGCCGGATTTGTTTTTATTACAGTATTGTAATATAGATACTATTGGGGGCCATTTGGGCGGATATGAAGGTTGATGAACCAGTAATAATGTGTATTGAAATGTAATTTAGTGTAATACCGCAGAAAAGGCGTCCTCAGCAGCGGGGAGTAAGGCGGTCGCTCAGTCGGCAGCCAGTCAATCTCCTACAAAACTGCCCCATCCGCCCTTTTTCCTCGCCTTTCTTCCCTCTGCCTCTTCTCGTTGGTTGCCCGCCCTCTCCAGTTCATCCTCCAATCGCACAGTATCATCTCCCCCCTTTTTACATCATTATTGGTGAAACCCTGCCTTGCATAAGGTCGTTCCTTCTCTATTGGTCTCGATACTATAACTGGGGTAAGTGTTATATACAATTTGCTTTACTACAGCACAAGCACAATACTGTACTCTAGTACTGCAATTGTATGCTTCCTTTTCCCTTTCTCCCTGTGCTTTTCTTTGTTTGACCTTTCATCTTTGATCACAATTCTCCCTGGATAAACACATGTCACAATTCACTTTTGTATTCCTGTTTTATTCCTGTTTTTTTACACCATTTGAACTACAATTGTATCCCTATATACCTCCTGTATTGCCTTACTGTCTTACTGCCGGTACTTATATACTTTGGCGGAACTGCCCGGCTTGACATCAGTGGCTCCCACAGAACCACCGCCTTCTCTCTCGTTGGCACGATTTCCATCTCCCCCCTCTCTCCCCTCTGGTCAAATCATCTTCTACCTTGGGATCCCTTGATTGCTTGGGATTGGAAAGTCACCTTATACCCCCGGAGATTATCCTTTCTATTTCTGCCGTGCCTATTAAGGTAATCGCTAAGCTCCAATCCCACGTTGCGCGCGCTTTTGCTTATCTCGTGGCAAAACAACGCGTGCTAAACCAAAACACACTCATTTTCACTTTGACCTATCCTTGCTATCCCTTCTATCATTGGCTCTTCTGATTTTACCTATGCGCGCGATTGCGTTTCATGTTTCTTTTCGTCCAATCTGCACGCGTCCCATTTACATCTTCCTCGTGGGTATCCAGTTGCATCTAACATATGACATAGAGTCGCGCAAACTGATTTCCTTGGCTTTGGCCCGTTTTAACTACTCCCAATCTTCACTTCGTGTCTGCTCTGCAGAATTCGATCGACAAGGTACGTTTCCAGCTGCAACTCAACTCCCGCCTTGCCAACGCATACATTCTCCCCTCTCAACCCTGACCGGTCTAACCCGCCCCGGATTCCCAATCCCCTCCACTTGAACCCTCTGTATTGACAGCGCATTGGTCGTTGCTTCGTCGCGATGATTGGATAAAATGTTAAAAATGCTAATGCTGGCCCATAGTGTTGGTGCGTGGAGCCTTAGTGAGGCGCATTCTGACACCAACGCCCAGGCGTTATCTGTCGCACCTCGAGGCTGTTAGCACCGCCCGAATTATACGCTGGACGTGGCAGAGCAAGGTCTCGGAATTGCATGAATGAGGTATCCTGCCGACCGTGCTTCAAATATACTGCGTAGTCTCCACACCTGCCACCATCAGGTCTGCTCTGACTTGACAACGCATCAAACCGACATCTAGTTGAGGCACCCCGGCACCGCTGCATCACAGCCCAACCACGTTACACCCGACTGTGGGCGTAAACAACTTTGCACAAAACCAAACCCTTCCGCGAATCGCTCGAGATTACTCTCGACACAAGAGGTCGACCCGAGAGTTTCTATTGACGAAACACAGAGCAATATCAGAACGCGCCTGCAATTTAAGGTACGTGCCTGATCCCGGTTGTGTTCTTTTGGTTCCCCATACCCCCACCCGCCAATCCAGTGACCGCTCGGCGATGCGCTCTGCTGACGCGACGCCCCGAGCCTGCAGACTATTTGTCGAATCATCAGTCACCTACCCCAGTACTTGTGGTGACTCTTGTCCCTCATTGCGCGCGCTCTGCGATATCGGTTTATTACATCTACCAAACAAACGTCGCCGTCAACTTTGACATATTTGACCTACCACCCCAAAGCAATCTTTTGGGTCTGATTGGTGATCTCCATATAAAGTCGCCACTTTCAGATCGATCCACTGAATTGGCGCCGCGCCCTGTAGTGTGACAAGATCCACTTATCACAACTCGCCAGTATGGAATATCCTCCCCAATATCAACAAGCCCATGGGCAACATCCACATGCTCCCACTCATATCCCCGGTCCTTATCAAACCGGCCCACCAAACGCTGGTCCTCCTGTTGGGTCGATGGCCTCGCCTACTAACGCCCAGGCACCCATCCAACCTCACTCAACCCACCAATCCTCTCCCATCGTTCCGTCGCAACCTCATTACCAACAAGCACAGAATGGACCCGGAGCTGTTCACCAACAAATGAACTTTCCCCAGGGCTATGGTGTTCCCGCGCCCATGGCTCAGGGTTACGGCATCTCGCCGACGCAGGCTGCCGCGATGGCTACTGCAGCTGCATCTGGGCA